GGCCAAAGTATTGGAGTTTCAACTTCAACATCAGTCCTTCTGATGAACACACAGGACTGATCTCCTTTAGGATGGACTGGTTGGATCTGTATAGATAATTATATATATATATATATATAAGGAGATGATGTCTGCCTTTCTCAATATCATTTAGAGCTAAAGCAGAGGGAATCATTATCAAGACAATTTATTTTCCATCAGAAAATTCCTATACCTGGCCTTGACTGTTTCAAACAGCCCAAAAAGAGAGCATTCAGGACCCTTACACCTTTTGTGGTGTATCTCCAACCCCTGACTGTGAGCGTCAACTGTATGATGCCCTCGATTAACCACGGAGGGGAGACTGCAGAAGTAGATGTTTTCTGGAATTGTCTTGCTTTTTCTATGGTCCAACAGATGTTGGCAATTTGATCTCTGGTTCCTCTGCCTTTTCTAAATCTAGCTTGTACATTTGGAAGCTCTCAGTTCACATAATGTTGAAGCCTAGCTTAAAGGATTTTGAGCATTACTTTGCTAGCAATCAACAGTCTGCACTGATAACTAAGTCTCTTCTTTTCAGAAGACGAACCTATAATGCAAACTACATCTGTACCTGTTGCCTTCTAACTCTGCAGGAGCCACATTCTGTATCTATTACCCTTTAACTTATTCTAGGCACATCCTGATACCTAACTTTATGGCATCATAAACCACCTCTCATAGTTTGTCACCTCTCTTTGCTCTATTTTAACCTCATGTTGATGCTTAACTTTACGGTACACTCTGTTTGGAAGCCACCCCCTAGTAGTTTGCTTTCCCCGTTTTGTATTACAGGAAGAAAATCACCAGGAAATCCCCAAAGGACAATGGACCCAACCACCAGGACCAACTGCCAGACCCAAATACCTAGCTACCTGACTCTGGCCTATTGACTGTTTCCAAACAGTGCAAAAAGAGAGAATTCAGGACCCCTACACATTTTGTCCCCTATCTCCAACCCCTGACTGTGAGCCCCGACTGTATGATCCCCTGGATTCCCAGTGGAGGGGAGACAGGGTCCTTGAGGCAGGAGCCTACTGTGTTCTCCCTTCTGCCAGCTTGATGATTAAAGCCATCTTTCTGTTTCCTCCAGACTCTGTCTCTGCAAATTTTATTTGGCTCCAGTGGGCAGAGAAAACCAAGATTTCGGTGGCAACAATGCCATCGAGTCAGGCTGGTCCCCCCCTCTCCCCTAGGATAACTCCTGCCAACAGGGATCATGAGGCATCCTGTGTGACCTCACTCAGCCCTTCCTCTGCCCTTTGTTGACCTGGCCCCTCATTGTGTGGCAATGGACAGGGGCTCTTGGGTGTCTCTGCCTGAGTGGATGGGCCGCAGTCCTCCTGAGAAGGGCGGAGGAGCCAACTGCAAGGTAGGTTTTCAGGAGAGAGAGAGACAGCTGTGGTTGAAGAAGGGATGGGAAGAGATGCATAGCATTTAGTGAGTCAGTATAAAGGATCGCTTTCAGTATAAGAGTACAAGAGAGAAATGTGGCCAATTGTTTTTAGTCTATACTTCCTTTTCTCTTATGATAGAAGTACTGTCAAGGAAGTAAAACCCTCACAGCTATTCTGTAGAATTAGGTAAGACTTATTGAAACAGCTTACTGCAAACACTCATTCTATTTTTAGGTTGAGGTCACTAAACTAAAATAGATCTCCACTTAGTGAAAGATTCAAATGCTGATCAAAAGATTAAAAGTGAAAACATTTTATTGCTAAGTAGCCTCAGGACAGAGAGAAAAATGTCAGAACATACAGTTCATGTAAGATGGAGGAGAGGTAAGTGAGTGAAGGCTAGAGACCATGACGTATCATGAGAAGCTTTGACCTGTTATGTTGGGAATGGGTGAGTGGGTGCTTGTGCTCAGAAACACTTTGGGATAAAGCAACTTAATGGGCTCTCTCCAGACCTTCAAAACCCTAAGGATTATGTCCAAGCCTTCCTTCCTTTTCTCCTTCCCTCCTTCTCTCCCTGATTCTCTCCATTCATCCATTTACTCATTCACCCATATGTTGACTCTTCCATACTAATACCTATTCATAGAAACAAATGTTTGATCACCTGCTCTATGCCAAGCACTATTCNAGGGGGGACCAGGATGGGGAATACATGTAAATCCATGGCTAATTCATTTCAATGTATGACAAAAATCACTGCAAAGATGTAAAGTAATTAGCCTCGAACTAATAAAAATAAATGGAAATAAAAAAGAATATCCACATTCTATTAGGTTGGTGCAAACCTAAAAAAAAAAAAGGAGCCTGTGAGGAAAGCTGGAAGACTTCTGGTCGGGAGGAAACCACAGAGGGATGAGGAGAGCCTGTGAGGAAAGCTGGAAGGCCGCTGGTCGGGAGGAAACCACAAAGGGATGAAAGAGCCTTTGAGGAAAGCTGGAGAACACTCATCGGGAGGAAACCACAAAGGGATGAAGAGAGCCTGTGAGGAAAGCGGGTAGGCCGCTGGTCAGGAGGAAACCACAAAGGGAGGAGGAGAGGGGCTGACTCGCCCCAGCACTGAGAGTTCTGAGTCAGTAGAGACAATGATACAAAACTTTTTTTTCCGAACCATTGTCACTCTCAGTTGTAAGTTACTTTGAGAGTAAGTTCTCTTTAAACACTTCTTACACTTTCAGCTGCATCTTTTCCTCCTATCTCAGCTCCACTACTTGACTGACTCCATGAGTCATAAAACTAAAGGGTGAAAATAGACGCCCGCGGGCCTCTTCTGACTCCTGGCCGGAAGGTGGATGTAGCCGAGCTTCCGGGTCTTTGGCCTCGTGGTGGAGCTGACCCCGCACACAGCCGAGCTCCTCACGCCCCAGTCCCTCAGCCCCTGCTTCTGGAAACGTGAGGGTCCACCGGAGCCCTGGCAGGGTCAGCATCTGTCAGAAAGCTGGTCTACGGTGTCCTGGACTCACATCCTGTTGTCACGAGGCCATGTCCACATCTCAGCACAGAAAGCCCCAGGGCCTCGCTCAGAGATGCCGCTTTTCCTGCTGACACGTTTATTCCCTCTTCGTTCTCTTTTTAGGATTTACTCAAGGAGTAAGAAATCCTCTAAGCTGCACTAGGAATAGAGGCATCTGTTTGCCGTTTGGGTGCCCTGGAAACATGAGACAGATTGGCACCTGTGTAGGGACCCCAATAAAATGCTGCAGATGGAGGTAAAAGAAGGCGAAGACGCGGCCAGGACTGATGCGGAGTCAGTAACTGCGCCCTTCAACACAGCATCTAAACTTTAAACCAGAATAAATTTTGTTCAAAATTAAAGAATTGCCCACTGGTCACTGCGGTTGTTGTGTGGTGTCTGATCCCAGGCGAATTCCAAAATCCCTGAGGATGCTCTCTGAGCTCCCCACGTGAACCATGGGGGGATCGTGGTGGGTGCTCTGATCCCCCTGTTCCTTGGGGGCCTGACCATCCCCAGCCACTCTGTCTGCTGTCCTTCCTGCTTCCCGGCCCAGGGCACCCTGGCCTGCCCCTCGTCTCCCCTCAAACATGCACCCCAGGGGTCCAGAATCACCAGAACACCAGGCCCGTAGGAAACCCGGACCACTGCTACAGGAGGAAACCCCCTCCTCTGTCCCCCTGCAGCCCTCACTTCCGTTTGGTTTATGCTTCTTACCCCTGCCTTGTGCACACGTGGATACACTTCCGATTCCCTTTTGGACTGTAAGGTCTCTATAGGCATGGACTTGTCCTATTCCTATATGTGCCGGGCATTTAGCCGAGACATAGCTTCACAAACTGTCATCAATTGAATGACAGAGTTGACATGGACAAAGCGTGTTTCTCTGTGTGGACATGATACGATGCAACTAAATGAGATGGAAAAACAAGTCCTGTGGAAGCACAGTTCAGTGAAGACAACACAGCACAGAACACAGAGCCCGCAGGGGCAGGGTGAGCATGCTGACCTCAGTCTGCATGTCCAGTCCAGTTTTAAGTCAGCTTTTTCCTCTCTCCGCTTTCACCTTCATCAAGAGGCTCTTTAGTTCCTCTTCACTTTCTGCCATAACGGTGGTATCATGTGCATATCTGAGGTTACTGATATTTCTCCCAGCAATCTTGATTCAGCTTGTGCTTCATCCAGCCTGGCATTTCACATGATGTACTCTGCATATAAGTTAAATAAGCAGGGTGACAATATACAGCCTTGACTTACTACTTTCCCAATTGGAACCAATCTGTTTTTCCATGTCCGGGTCTAACTGTTGCTTCTTGACCTGCATACAGGTTTTGCAGGAGGCAGGTCAGGTGGTCTGGTATTCCCATCCCTTTCAGAATTTTCCAGTTTATTGTGATCCACACAGTCAAAGGCTTTAGCATAGTCAATGAAGCAGAAGTAGATGTTTTCTGGAATTGTCTTGCTTTTTCTATGGTCCAACAGATATTGGCAATTTGATCTCTGGTTCCTCTGTCTTTTCTAAATCTAGCTTGAACATTTGGAAGCTCTCAGTTCACGTAATGTTGAAGCCTAACTTGAAGGATTTTGAGCATTACTTTGCTAGCAATCAACAGTCTGCATTGATAACTAAGTCTCTTCTTTTTAGAAGACGAACCTATAATGCAAACTACATCTGTACCTGTTGCCCTCTAACTCTGCAGGAGCCACATTCTGCATCTATTACCCTTTAACTTATTCTAGCCACGTCCTGATACCTAATTTTATGGCATCATAAACCACCTCTCGTAGTTTGTTACCTCTCTTTGCTCTATTTTAATCTCATGTTGATGCTTAACTTTACAGTACACTCTGTTTGGAAGCCACCTGCTAGTAGTTTGCTTTCCCCGTTTTGTATTACAGGAAGAAAGTCACCAGGAATTTCCCAAAGGATAATGGACCCAACCACCGGGACCAACTGCCAGACCCAACCTAGCTACCTGACACTGGCCTATTGACTGTTTCCAAACAGTGCAAAAAGAGAGAATTCAGGACCCCTACACATTTTGTCCCCTATCTCCAACCCCTGACTGTGAGCCCCGACTGTATGATCCCCTGGATTCCCAATGGAGGGGAGACAGGGTCCTTGAGGCAGGAGCCTACCGTGTTCTCCCTTCTGCCAGCTTGATGATTAAAGCCATCTTTCTGCTTCCTCCAGACTCTGTCTCTGCAAATTTTATTTGGCTCCAGTGGGCAAGAAAACCAAGAATTTCGGTGGCAACAATGCCATAGAGTTTGGCTGGTCCCCACCTCTCCCCTAGGATAACTCCTGCCAACAGGGATCATGAGGCATCCTGTGTGAGCTCACTCAGCCCTTCCTCTGCCCTTTGTTGACCTGCCCCTCATTGTGTGGCAATGGACAGGGGCTCTCGGCTGTCTCTGCCTGAGTGGACGGGCCACAGTCCACCTGAGAAGGGCGGAGGAGCCAACTGTAAGGTAGGTTTTCAGGAGAGAGAGAGACATCTGTGGCTGAAGAAGGGGTGGGAATAGATGCGTAATATTTAGGGAGTCAGTGTAAAGGATCACTTTCAGTATAAGAGTACAAGAGAGAAATGTGCCCAATTGTTTTTCGTCTATACTTTCTTTTCTATTATGATAGAAGTACTGTCAAGGAAGTAAAACCCTCACAGCTATTCTGTAGAATTAGGTAAGACTTATTGAAACAGCTTACTGCAAACACTCATTCTATTTTTAGGTTGAGGTCACTAAACTAAAATAGATCTCCACTTAGTGAAAGATTCAAATGCTGATCAAAAGATTAAAAGTGAAAACATTTTATTGCTAAGTTGCCTCAGGACAGAGAGAAAAATGTCAGAACATACAGTTCATGTAAGATGGAGGAGAGGTAAGTGAGTGAAGGCTAGAGACCATGACGTATCATGAGAAGCTTTGACCTGTTACGTTGGGAATGGGTGAGTGGGTGCTTGTGCTCAGGAACACTTTGGGATAAAGCAACTTAATGGGCTCTCTGCAGACCCTCAAAACTCGAAGGATTTTGCCCAAGCCTTCGTTGCTTTTTTCCTTCCCTCCTTCCCTCCTTGATTCCCTCCATTCATCCATTTATTTATTCACCCATATGTTGACTCTTCCATACTAATACCTATTCATAGAAACAAATGTTTGATCACCTGCTCTATGCCAAGCACTGTTCTAGGTGCTGAGAATGTGAGATAATAAAACAGGACTTGTCACTTTGGAGATTTACATATAAAGAAAAAGAGAGATATGAACACTGTAAAGCAAAACTGAGTGGAGAGAAGGATGAGATGGAGAAAAATTTCAGTTATTTACCCGGTATGCGTGTGTGCTGAGTTACTTCAGTCATGTCCAACTCTTTGTGACCCCATGGACTGTAGCCCACCAGGCTCCTCTGTCCATGGGATTCTCCAGGCAAGAATACTGGAGTGGGTTGCCATTCCCTTCCCCAGGGGATCTTCCCAACCCAGGGATCAAAACTGCATCTCCTGCATGGGCAGGTGGGCTCTTTATCACTAGGGCCACCTGGGAAGCCCCTTATCTGGTATCCTTTGGTGCTCTTCGCTCATGAATACATTGGTGAATTACAGGTATTAAGAAATACTCTAGCCCATAAAGCTTCACCTGATTGTGGTCTATGCAAGAGCTTGCTTAGGATGGATCAATTCTCTCTGTAAATGGTAGCAAAAAAAAAAAATGTTGAGAGTGAAAAAAGATAATTTTGATTTCCAAAACCTTCTCACTTTTCGGTTGTAAAAGGTGTAGGTGTGGTGGGTTGTTGTTGTTCAGCCAATCAGTCACGAACAACTCTTTGCAGCCCCATGGATTGAGGGTGTTTATTCTGAAAGGAGAAATGGACAGATGTAGAGACATGAAATAAAGGTGAAAACAGAAATGAATAATTTGCTAACAGAATTCAATTTTTAAAGATTTTTCTCCAAAAAATGCACCAAACCTCAGAGCCATAAGCAGAAGTGAGAATCAATGTGGAAACTCTGACTTGCTGCAAACCTCTTCCTTTACAACAGGCAAATGCTTGGACCGTGTGTCCATAGATGATGAAACATCCTCAAATTAGGCCCAGCGCCAGCTGAACGTCTCTAGTAGGAATAAAAGCACTCTCTTCCCAGCTGAAGTTTTCAAACTCTTTCCCAGATCGCCTGCCCCGATTCAGGTGTGCCACGAGACACTGGTTCTGCTTGGAATTCCGAAAACTCCTTTCCCCATCATGAAGCTACTCTACCTTCTCTTCCTCTTACTTGTGTGTCTTACGCAGACAACAGCGGGTAAGTGGCAGATGCAACTGGTCGGGTGATATGGTGGATGACCTTGGAGACTGGAGTAGGGAAGGTCAAGTTGATTCATCATCCAGTGATGTGCTAAACGGAATAATATCAAGTCTGAGAGAAGCATAGCATATACGACTTGCTCCATTTTACAAATAACGAAAGAGAAGATTAAAGAAGTGAAAAATAGCCTCCCGTGATTGCCCTTAACCAGTTGATAGTAAACCCATAAATTGTAATGGTGAAAGTCCCCTTACAGGGGACTTTACAGCTTACAAATCACTTCCATGTGAGTAACAGTAACACTAATAATAATAGTAAATAATGTTGACTACTTCCTCTTTAACCAAAACAACAAAACTTTTAACGTCTTATCCCAAATATAGTCATAGCAATATATATGGGGTAGGCCATTTTACAAGATGGGATTAAGAAATAAAGTAATTTGTTCAAAGGAGGGCAGATTGAATGTAGGGAGCACTTTAACTCAAGCCCAAGTGGGTTTGACTCCAAAGACCTTGTTTTTATGAAATAGTCAACAATCCCAGAAAACTAATTTACTTACTGAATTATATAAAATCAACAAATACTTTAGCTTGAGTATGATTCCAACACTTGGGACATACTTATCCTACAAGATTGCTGATCACCTGAAATCCAAGCTAAACTGGGTGTCCTGCATTTTCCTGCAGCCCTCCTCATGTGACGGCATGCTCCAGGCTGTGCTGTGGTGACAGCGCATCCAGATCTTAGCGTCTTAAAAGAGCCAAAGTTAATTCTTGCTCAAATGACGCCAACCCATAAGGGCCCAGGTGCTCTGATCAGACCCCACCCCCGAGGAGCAGCCACCACCGTGGGCGCTGCTGGTCCTGTGTCCGCGGAAGGCGCTCTCAGGACTCTAGTGCTGGTGATTAAGGGCCCCAGCCCTGAAGGGAAACGTCAGTTCCGCTCAGAATTCATTAACCAAGCAGGTCCAGTTGTTTAGTCACTCAGTTGTGGTTCACTCTCTGTGACTCCACGGACTGCCGCCCATCAGGCTCCTCTGTCCATGGGGTTCTCCAGGCAAGGATACTGGAGTGGGCTGCCATTCCCTTCTCCAGGGGATCTTTCTGACCCAGGGATCAAACCTGCATCTCCTGTGTCTCCTGCATTGGCTGGCGGATTCCTTACCAGCTTAGCCATCAGGGAAGCCTGAGTGAAGCCCCATAGACGTGTTTAAATGAATGAGCACGATCACCTTCCCATAGAACAATTTATGGCCCCTTCTCAGCTTTTCTACAATTTTTAGAAATGTGGAAAAACCTTCTAAGCCTGTAGGTCACAAGGAGAGTGCCAGTTGTGTCCCTGTGGAGTGTCATTTGGAGTCCTTGCTATCCAAGATGAATTCTGGTAGCTCTAGTTACACTTGCCTTATTTATGTTTCTTTTTCACCTCCCCTTCCTTTACAGCTAAAGAAAAAAAGAACAACCTTGAATGTGAGAAAATGGGTGGTGCCTGCAAGTATCAAAACACCCACGGGTGCGTCATCCTGCCTGGAGAATGCAAGAGTCGGAAGAAACACTGCTGCCGAGTCTAGCTCAGCATCGGGCATCCACAGCCGCACGGGACTCTCCCCGCCTCGGGGGCCTGTTTAATAAGAGCCGCTGCTCACTCGGGTCCCATGGGTCTTTCTGGGTGCATGAGGTCATGAACTGGATGGGAAGATTTCTGTTGGAAGTCTGGCCACACCACTTGTTAGCTGACTAACTCTGGACAGGCCTTTCCTTTCCTAGGTCTCAGTCTCTGCTCCTGTAACTATTGAAATGGATGTTCTCCACAACCTAATTCTGTTGGTGGTAGGGTTTAGTTGCTAAATCACGTCTGACTCTTCTGTGATGCCATGGACTGAGAAGCCTGGCACCAGGCTGCTCAGTCCGTGCCATTTTCCAGGCAAGAACACTGGAGTGGGTTGTCCTTTCCTTTTTCAGGAGATCTTTCTGACCCAGGAACCGAGCCTGCATCTCCTGTGTCTCCTGCATTGGCAGGCAGATTCTTTAGCACTGAGCCCCAGGAGAGCCAACCTGTTAATATGTGTCTACAGATGTATGGACTGGGGGAAAGCGCTTTGAGTGAGTGTGAGTGTGTGTGTTACAGTAGGAAAAGTCACCGAGGTTTTGTGTCCCTTTGTGGAAGGACATCTGTGTTTCCATTGGCATATGGGTTTCCACATGGTAAACGTGTGCTTAACTTCACAAGAGACAGCAAACTGCTTTCCGAAGCAGCCGTGATCGCTGCTGATAATCTCAATGGCCTTTGAGTTTCCAGTCTCTCCGTATTCCCATCCCTCGTCACACCTCCATGTAAAATTCTCAGTGTTTCTCTGTTAAAAGGATGAAGGACAAATTCTCTAGTGTCTCAGGTCCTTCATCCATTGGCCACACTTTCTCTAGTTTCATCTTATCTCAGCCTGGTTCTCACACTAACCCCTGACAATGTCAGTCGTCTTTCTGGCATATTTTGTTCTCCTCACGCTGAAACACACTTAACGCTACTTGTCCTCCGACTTTTCCTGCCTGATTCGTACTCGCTTTTATAGTCTCAGCTCACAAATGGCCTTCACTGGGAAGACATCCTTCATTCACTCAACTTGAGTAAGAGAGGAGACTTTGGTTCCATGGCCTCAGCTACCAGTACAGTTTCTAGCACACAGTAGGTGTACAGTAGATGTTGACAGAATAGTCAGTGAATAAAGAAAATGATAGAATGAGGCTTCAGCTTTCCAATTTAATTCAGGGATGATCCATTAAATGTGAATTCAGTTTACTTAATTCAGGAAGTTCCATCAAACATGAGTCCATCATACAGAGGAAGTGCTTACCATGTGATGAAGACTATTTTCTTCTCAGGCACACACTTGTGTGAGAGTCACACAAATTAAGCATTCTACTACTGTGTCCACAACCTAAAGAAAGAACAAAAATGTCTGTTTTTGGAAGAAAGTCTTAAGATCACTATCCAGGGAAGAAATAATTCAGTACAACCAGGAATCCCCAAAATACACTGCCAGGAAAGCACTCTGTCATATGCACCTCTTTTCCATTACTTTGTCCCTCCTATTACACTTGCTTGTTCAGTAGGAGAACAGGCTGAATTTCAAATTTGTTATGAACAGAAATTTCATGCTGTAATTTGGAAACTAGGGTCAGAGACTGTAAACAGCTCTCTCGGGATGACATTTATAGCCTGTATTGTGCCCTCTGAGATGCGCCATTGTGGGGTTGTCAGATGTCTTTTGGAAACAGCACATTAACATTTTGTAAGTTTGTGTTTTCATCTTCCTGGCAAGGGATCCCACTGAAGACAAGATGGTAGCACAGCCCTCAGATATTTACTAAAATCTGCGAACATACTCACACACATGCCCCACGCACTTGAAGAGTGTCAGCAATACTCTGAAGGTCACTCAGCATTCCCAGGCTAAAAACTTACTCCTGCCTTCAGGGTTTCTCAGATAAGTCTTAGAATTAAGATTAAAAATCTAAAATTCAAAGCCCTAAAGCCAAGGACCTAGAATGATCAGGACACCAGCTGAGGGGAGAGAGGTTTCTGAAACAGAAGAAGGAATAGCCCGCCTGGCTCCAAACCAGGACTGAGATTGGTTTTGGACTTCTCTGGTGGTCCAGTGGCTGGGAGTCCACCTTCCCATGTAGGGTACACGAGTTTGATCTCTGGTCCTGGAGGATCCCACAGGCCTCGGGGCACCTAAGCCCATGTGCCAAACGGCTGAGCCTGCGATCTAGAGTCCAGGACCCGCAACAAGGGAAGCCACCGCAATGAGAAACCTGAGGACCACAACTAGAGAGGAGCCCCCAGTCACTGCAATAGAGAAAGCCTGGGCTCAGCAGCAAAAACCCAGTGCAGCCAAAAATAAACAACACAAGAAGATTGCTTTTCCTGCCTCTTAGGAGGTGGGGGAGATAAGCAAGGGCTCCATGGACCCTCCAGTCCAGCCTGTCCACTCTGGGTCATTAGTAGAGGTCACCAGCTTTGGAGCCAGGTTGAGTGGTCAGAGAGCTGACTCTCACTGGCTTTGGCCTGGGGGTCAACGCCCTGTGGGGTCAATGCCGGGGCTGGGGGCAGGCTCACACTCCTCACTGCCCACTCAGGGACGTCAACCTTGTTTCCACTTTCTTGAACTGCTCATTCTACCCACAGGCTGGAGGGAAGGTGCTAGCACTTGGCTTCCAGCAGACAGCTTGCTTATCACGAGTCCTCGCACCCCCAGCCCCGTGGCACATCGTGGAGGCTATCCTGATGCCCACCCATGCCACCCTGGGCTTCATCACAGCAGCAGTGACCCAGGAGCTCTGACCCCTGGACCCCCATCACTGGGATCCACGGACATCCTAGTGCTGCGCCAAGAATCTCACATGAGGAACTCTATGGCTCTGTCTTCATTCTTCCCCAGGACGTCCCCTCACAGCCCAGTGGAGGAAGGTCCACTCAGGGACGTCAACCTTGTTTCCACTTTTGTGAACTGCCCATTTTCCCACAGGCTGAAGGGAAGGTGCTAGCACTCAGCCTCTAGCAAAGAGCTTGCTCATCACGGGTCCTTGCACCCCCAGCCCCATGCCACATAGTGGAGGCTGTCCTGATGCCCACCCATGCCACTCTGGGCTTCATCACAGCAGCTTTGACCCAGGAGCTCTGACCCCGGGACTGCCCATCGCTGGGACCCACGGATGTCCTAGTGCTGCGCCAAGAATCTCACATGAGGAGCCCTATGACTCTCTCTTCATTCTTCCTGAAAAGCCCAGTCCCCTTCTCTCTGAAAATTAGCCCAGTGAGGAAACTGACTTGGGGTCACCCATCTGAGTGAGGCCACAGAAACGATCACTGTGCCCAGCGGACCCACAGCAGAGAGCGGCTTGTTGACCAGAAGCAGAACGGAGGACGGGGTCTGGGGGTGGGCATCGGGGAAGCTACTGTATCCATCCAGCCCCTACTCGCTTAGCTCATTATCTGTTGGTTTTGTGAGCTAACACCGTGGGAAGCATGAGGAGCCCTGGGCAGTGAGACCTCTGAAAGGAATGATTGGTCAGATGAGTGTATTTACATTAAGGTAGAACGCTGGAGGAAGAAGAGAGTGAGGGAGAGACAGAGCAGAGCGGGGTGAGCACAAAGCCCAGCGTGGCCGCAAAAGACAACAGCGGACTCCCTGCAGGAGGTGAGGCACCGGCTCTCAGGGACCCTCCAGCCCCTCATGGTGCTTACCCACACCAGCCACTTTTCTCCCCCAAATCCAGATAGCTGCGGTGTCCCCTCAGCTGTCCCGTACATTCAGCTCTTCTGTCTTGAGGCAGGGGCTTCGGTGCCCCGTTGGAGGATGGAAGGAATGAGAACAGCTCACCAATCTGACCAGGCATCTTGAGACCAAAAAATGAGGAGACCGCTGGGTATAATCAATGAGTAAGTTGATTACCAGGGTGGAGGGGCACCTTACTTACTCACAGAGCAGGACTCCAAAGCATTCACAGCTCACTCCAACCTCCGAGGATCCTCTGAGACCATTTTATTGTTAACCTGGTGTATGTGGGTGGGGGGTTAGAAATAGGAATGTGTTTTGTTAAGTTAAGATTTGTGGAAGGGTAACTGGTCACATGGGAATACGCCAGGAAAGGTTTTCATCATCATTTGGGGACTAATACAGCATAGAGGCTGCCTGGTCCTAATGGTTATTAAACAGTATCTATTAACTACAAGACCCTGATGACAGAGACATGATTCACCACACAGGCCAGTTCCAGGCAGGGTCAACAGGACAGCAGGAGCTGCAGGAGCCCAAGATGGCGTCAGTGATGCTAATAGCCATCCAGGCACCCTCCTCCTGGTTTTTCTTAACCTGCTGTTTCTCTCCTCTGTCTCTGGGTTTTGGCTGAGCCATCTCTAACTTAGAGTTTCAGAGGCTGAGTGTGGGATTTCATTTCCCTTCTCACCCAGAAAATCTTGGGCTTCTCATAAGAAATGATCTCCCTTATTCCGAATGAAGCATTTTCTGTAAAAAGTGTCTTCAGAGTGACTGACTCAAAGATTCTCATACTTTCTCTCTCATCCCAAAATGATGGCTGATTACTCATTCTACATTTATAGAGTCAAAACCCATCAAGTGAAGTGTATTGAAGGTGATTATAATGGTCTTTGTACAACCAGAAAAAATTTAGTCTTACCTTACATAGATTCTGATATCATCCCTAATGGTATCCATGAGGAAAAACAAGACTAGAGATATTCAGTGTGGTGTTCAAGTTTGTGGTGAAATCAAAGAAGGATTCAGGAATCTAACTCCAGATTCTGAACTCTTTATTACTGCAGGATGTTCTACTGGTCTCCTTCCTCAAGGATTAGGTATTAGAATCAAGTGAAAACTACACATTTTTAGAACTGATAAATTGGCTCATGACTTTTCATAGACTAGTGATAATCTAGAAATTAGGATTTAAAAATAAAGATGTTTATATTAATGTGCTGACTTTAAAATTCCTTGTAAAAGGAAAATGTGTGCAAGAATAGATAAAATTATGTTTATAAAGAGCAACATGGTGACTTTCACTACCAGTTATTCTAATTTATGATGATGGCTAAGCTCAAAATACGTGGCATTGGCAAAGGAATTAAAAAAGAATCCCTGATTCAACAAAGGGCAGCCACAAACAGACTATGCAGACACTGACAGCTAGTTTATGATAAAAAGTGTCCTTTACATGAGTGACGGGGGCGGGGGTGGCAGAGGGGAAGTAGCTGTATCTTTAATAAATCATGCAGAGCTGATTGGAGAAAAAATATTTTATGCTCTAAAGGAAGCATGAAATGGATTACAGTGGGGTTTTCAAATATAATTTTTAGATCCAGGATATTTTGTAAAGAGTCAGTATGCATTATTTGTTTTATGGAAAAATTAGAAGCCTATTTCAATAATGGAAGATAAACTGTTCTGACAGAGTACACCATGGACCAACATCGCAGACATAAGGCATACTCAAAGTTCTGTGATGATCTCGGTCGGCAGACCACACAGGAAGAACAATTGGAGAAACTACATTTGTATCTGTATCTGGATAACTTTACAGACACTGATGTACACTGATCATAGCCCATTGTTCATCTGCAAGCCGGCTCTGAATTTTCTTTAATTATTCACTGATTAGGACCCAGTTATAGAACTGGTCGTCACATCACCGCAATGCCAGTCACAGTCTTTCTTGCCCGTGAGATTGTTTAGGTTTTGGAAGAATGCCCGTGTCTCTTGTCCTTCCTCTTTGTCCCCCGCTTCCTGGGCACCTTGCATCCTGTCTCCGTCCTCCCACCCTAAACCTGCTCTGTAAACTGCAGAAAGCTGTGGTCCTGTCAAGGCCTGCTCCCTCCCCAGAGGGAGGAGAGTGACACCTGTATGGAAGGTGACCTACTCAGAAAACTACAGCGGGGGCCACGACTTGGACAAGACAGGTGAACAAGGAAGACACGGAATGATCGATCGCACCTCTCTCAGGACTCCAGCCTCAGGCCAAAGTGGCTTAAGGGTCACATTAGCTCTGTGAATGAAAACACTTTGCAACAGTTAAAGCATAATATAGATTTAATTCTTGTGACTGTCTCCCTCCCACTGCCTACCCTGCCATGGAAGATAACTTTAATCAGTCTGAATGATAAAATAGTCGATTGTGTAGATGGGAGAACCGTCTGCTTTTATCTGCACAAGAGGAGACTTGCTCTGGGTCTCTCGCTGGGTTCCTCAGCTGGGCTGCCTCCATCAGCTCGGCTTTATTTTGCAGCAAACGGTGAATGCCCGGCAGGGTCCTCTGAAGGGCTCACAGCTCGGCGTCCCTTGCTTCAGGCAGATTCCACCCCGAAGATAGCAGGGTCTTTCAAAATTGAGTGCCCTAGTGCTGTCTGGAAAAGGAAAAGACATTTATATGAAGCCTTGTGGAAGTCCCATGAGGAAATCTGGGGGTCTCACCATTCGACTGGGATCCCCTTCTTTCCCAGCTAAACACCAATAGCAAACATCCCCCTCGGATCCCTCACCCTCTTTCTGACATAAGATGTCAGTGTTGCTGATGAACCTGGTTTGAGAAGATCCCACATGTGGGAGCAACTAAGCCCCTGAGACACCACCGTGAGCCTGTGCTCCGGAGCCCGGCTCCACAGTGAGAAGCCCCTGCAATGAGAAACCTGTGCCCTGCAACTGGAGAGTAGCCTGCGCTCCCCCAAATTAGAGGAAAGCCCCCAGAGCAATGAAGACCCAGCACAGCCAAAAAATATATGCCACCAGAACACCTGGGTGTTAACCGCAGGGTCAGTAACCACTGCGCCGTGTGCCTCATCAGTCACCCCACCTCCCCATCATGCAAAACCCACCCAGCTCTCACAGGCTCCTCAGATGGAAGCCTTGTCCAGTGGAACTCAAGGTCACACCGTGACATGTGTGGCAAGAGGTCTCCAGTCTGGGCCTGAATAAAGGAATGTCATCTCCACAGTGGGTTATACCAACCAAGTGATTCAACTGATTTAGCTCACAAATCATCCAGATCATTTCAGGGAAAGGGGAGGAGGGAGAAGGTTACCACCAACAAGACGTTTAAGGTCATGAAGACACAACAACATGCTTTGGAAAGAATTCTCTAATCACTCAATGCCTAACTTTGGGTGTGGAGGTGACCTATTAGTAGCTCTGTCATGTTTTACTTTTGGATGATGGTTGACTTAGGGAAGGAAAAACCAAGTAATGATAAGAAAGGTCATCGTGGCTGGTATTTACCGGGCAGTACCTGGAAGAGGATCGAGAGAGCGGTGAGGAAGACATGGAGGAACCTCATTGTCCCAGAACGGAGGTCCTGGAATGCCTGGTGGGAAGAATCAAGGACACAGTCAGAAGTCCGAGGAGCTCAGAGCGTCCAGGACCAGAGCAGACATGACCTCCTACCCCTGGGCCCTGCACCTGCCTTGGCAGGAGGAGTGTGACTGCTCCATCCTTTCTTGCTCCCTGAGCCCCAGCTGTGGCTCGCCTTGGGTTCGCTCAGACCTGGGGTTTCAGATCTGGGGTTGAGGCCCTCCTGTGCCCACATCTACAGAGTCGGTGTCCCCGTGAGGCAGAGGCTGGAGCATCCAAGGCCAGTGGTAGGGTGGGAGTCCAGCCGTTACATAAGGAGGGTAAGGCCGGCCCCTCGCGGGTGAGGAGGTTCATTAGAAAAGATTTAGAGCCCAGTTGATTGGATCTGCAGGGCTACTTGAAAGGAAGATCCAGAATGGTGGTGGGTTATAACCTGGAGAATCCATGTTAAAGGAAGAAGGAATTCATATTGGTTAAAAATCAGTGGAGAAATATGCCTAATTATTTCTAAGATTTGAATTTCAATGTTTACTTCCATTTAAATCTATCATAGTCTTTCTGATTCTAAAAAATTATACATATCAGAAAATTTCAACTTAAAATTTCAAGTCATAAAGAAATGCAAAAATGGAAGATTTAATAAAAACCCATAGCCCCACGCTTCAGGTATAATCACTACCTACAATTCAGAGTATTTCAGCTCTTTTCCTTTGCAAATGAAATTGTGAAAGTATTTCTTTTTAATTTAAAATACAGAATCTTATTTCATAACCAATGCCAATGTGTGTTTTTACCACTTAAATAGTATCTTGGAAAATTTTTAATATCTATCCAAATAAGTTTGCCTCATATATTTATATGACTACACATATATCTTGAGAAATTTATGTAACACTTACTTTTGTATGAATTCCTACAAGTGGAATCTCAGTATATATGCATTGTTCAAATTTTAAAGGGTTTTGCCCAATTGCCCATGCTAGAAACTGTTGTACCACTTTATCCTCTTACTGACAATGTGAAAAAGTATATTTGACATTCAATATTCTCATTAATATTGGTTTTTATGAATTGTCTCAATTTCTGCAAATTAAATGAGTGAAAGAATATTCCTTTTTTATTTATTTTAATATACCTTTTAAAAATTGTTTCTGAGGTTGAACATTTTTTTAATGTTTACTGGTCATTTTTGTCTCTTACATTTTACCCATTTTTCTATTTTTCTATTCATCTTTCCTTGTTGACTTCTAAGAATCCCATGTATATTTAAAATCATTAATCCTTTCTTATATGTGTTGCAAAAATTGTTTCTGGCTTGGTGCTTGCTCATCTAATAGCCGAAATTTATAGGTACCCTCAGTGATTACTTTTGCTCGTTTGGTTTCCTTAAAGATATTTGTTCGTATGTTTACCTCGTTTGGTTTCCTTAAAGATATTTGTTCGTATGTTTACCTCGTTTGGTTTCCTTAAAGATATTTGTTCGTATGTTTACCTAATTCTGTCTGTATCCCTGATCAGTTTCATCCTTATTCAGTCCTAGAATAGAGGCTTTTCTGAAAAGCTGTGACAGACGAGTCCCCAGTGTTATAGCCATGTGTTCCGGGAAACAATGCAGATAGTGGAGTGCAGTTTATTACACCGGCGGGCCCAAGGCAGAGTCTCCTCTTAGCCAAGGACCCTGACCAGTTTTTGTGATAAACCTTATATACCCTAAGTGTACTTACTCAAACCCACCTCCCCAAATTACTTGGAGCTAGTCTGGACAAGATAAAAGAGAGATACGATCAAAGTTAACCAATGATTCATGTGTCATAAGCCTAGATAGGTAAACAGCGGACATTTATCAACTGGCCTGTGGTCATATCCCAATAAACATAATGGAATTTACGACTTTGTTCTGTTACAGAGGTAATTAGCATATTTCTTTTAGAAAGTCCAAGTCCTGAGTCTCTTTTACCTGGGGGGGTCTGGTTTTCCATCGGTATGCCATTTCTATAGACACCGGGCACAAAGTGCAGAGTCCATTGGGAGGGTGACCATGCATGTAGCCTAACGTTCACAGCCTGGCCTAAGACGGAGTCCAGCTCTGTCTGCTTCCTCCTTCACCAGCAGTGACCTTAGAACTGTTTCTTACACTGTCCAGAACTATGACTTTCCTGAGCCCACAGACATGCCCTCACTCCCACGTGTCTCATATGGAAGGCTCATGTCTGAGTTCACATCTCTGTCCTCTTTGGAAACCGAGTCTTACACAGAAGAGAAACAAGCTCATACATGATTGGAAGGAATTGGAAATGATCAGGGCCACTCTGGTGATCCAAGTCTGTCCAGGGGAGGATGGTGGTAGGGAGGGGGACGGCAGGGGAGGACGGCAGGGGTGGGGGTGGTGGTGGCGTTGGGGAGGGGATCACATTTTGTACACCCATCAGAGCACCTAAACCACACAGCCTGCCTGGCACTTACCTAGTCCTGGTTAGAGACAGTTCTGTTCCTTCCGCTCTTCTGTTTGTCTCTGCCAGAGGCAGCACTAAGTGATCTGAGCTATTAATAACACAGCTCCTCTAGTTCAAGATAATCAGATCTCCCTCTTCAGTCTCTTTCAGAGTTCATGGCTACGCTCAGTGATTCTCTATTACCAAATAACATTTAAATTATTCCATCAAGTTAAACACAATGTTATTGCTTCATTGAAATTACAGGTTTTACTAAAGAAAAAAAAATGGCATGTGGGTCATGTGAGTCTAAGAACAAGATATCCCTTTAGATGTTTTTGCCTCCTCTTAGTACAACCTTTTGTGTCCTTCAGTAAGTTTCTTTCTGGGTTGTTCAGAGTGTTTTTGTAACTTGACTCCTAGATATTTCATGGTTTTTCTTTCTTTTTGAGCCACATTCTTCTTTCATTACATTTTATAACTGCTACTGTCTGCATAAGAAAAACTGTGGATTTGGGATAATAATGCATCACTAGCCCACAAGTTGAACTCTTATTCGTTTAGATTTTTTGTGGTTACTTCTTAGTGGTTTTGCAGTCCTAAAATTATAGGTCTGTAAGAATTATCATTACCCTCGATTCTGAAGTGTAGGATTCTTCCTTTCTGCTCTCAATGAAAGGCATTGATTCACAATGGCTGGAACTGTCAAGAGATCCTCGAAGCCAACTTCCTCACTTCACAGAAGAGGAAACTGTGGCCAAACAAGGTCAAATCATGTCCCGGGGTTATGCTCTGGTAAACGTCTTTTATGCTGCAAACTCTTTCTCAGTTATGACAATGCACAAATTAACTTGTTTCTATCCATTTCCCCTGTTTTCCTGTTTCTTTTATCCCTTCTTTCTCCTGTCAAAGATCAACTTCCTCATTCTCCAAAAATGAAACAAGGTTTTTCAAAGAGACAGTTACTGTGTTTTTAATAGATGCTTCCATCTTTTTTTTCTTTATGTGTGATTTCTTCTGTAAAAACCTTTGATATTTCTTCCAGGGCTTGATGAAGAATTTCAACTCATGCATGAAGCACAAGTTGTAGTTTCAGCCAAGATGTCCTTGGGTGGTCACAAATGACTGTGTCCAGTGAAGAAATGGAGGGAATTTTAATGACAACACCAACACCCAGTGCTTCTGCGACCCTGGGTTTAAGTCTACCACTCTTGTGGGGTGAAAATGGAGATGACTGAGTTCATGTCAAGATTTCTGTTTGAAAAGTTAGAGAGAGATTAAAAAAAAAAAATCCACATTGGGTCTAGTAATGTGGGCTAATTCTGATTACGGGCCCGGAGTGAAATCTCTGGAGGATGTATGGGCTGTGAGAGAAATTGTCCAAGGCAAGGATGGTTGCTACTTCAAAGGAGAGAAAATAGAAATGGAGGGAAGAAGGAAGGGAGAGAGAGCAGTCACAAGAATCTCATAAAATTCTTCTTCAGTTTTGGGGCCATAAAAGGCCCCAGTCTGCTCCTCACGGGCTCCTCCAGCAGAGCAGGCCCGGGAGCATGCGGCCCTGGGTTAGCACATCTCTTCTCTTTGAGGGGAAAACCGGGTGCTCCCTTCTCACCCGGCTCTGCTCTGAGGAGCTTACTGACTCCACTCTGACAGGACAGGCCTCCCTCTGAGCCCTCATTCTCTCCCTAGAGAAACAGAATGACGTCCTTGTTGCCATGAATGAGTTGGGAGTCCTGTTTCCTGTCGACCTGGTTTCACCTACAAGACTCCGAGGTCTTGAAAACCCAAGACTGAGTCTCCTCAGCGTTGAGCCCTTAGGTGTGAACCAGACGGAAAATAACTCGAGCCTGGAAACAGGAAGCACCTTTGACAGAACCATAGGCACACGAGATTCATCTCCTTCTTCGTCTGTGCCCAGACTTCTCCCATCCGAGCCTGGGCTTCCACGCCTCCCGCGCTGGACCCCGAGGGGCCTCACTCATCGCTCCTGACTCAGGGGCTCAGGATCCCGGCCCCCGGCCTGCCTGCCTCTGTACACACTCCAGTCTCGGGGTCCTGCTTCCAGTGAGAACAAGAAGGGGCCCTTCAAGCCCCTGACGCTCTGCCTCAGGGCGGTCTTAGGCCTCAGGTCAGTCTAGGGGAGGCACCATCCCACGTGCGCACAGGCGGCTTCTGGTCTTGGGCCGCGGTCGGCCGCCATGAGCGTTGGTTGCGCCCAGAAGGGTGTCGGGCGTCGGGTGGCACCGCGCCGGCCTCACGCAGAGCACCCTGGGACCCCCTCTGCGCGAACAGCCCTGGGACCCTCTCCACGCGGACTGGGACTCTCCCTGCGGCCTCAGACGGCCTCCGGCGGGCGTCCTCGAACGGCCATTCCTTCTACCGGGGAGCAGGACCACACCGAGGTCAGGAGGACTTAGCCCGGGTGGACGCAGAGCAGGGCTCTGCCACCGCGCGTGTCCCGTCCCGCAGCCCCATCGCTCCCTCAGAAGTAGCCTCAGACACCTCTGGGATGTCGTGTGGAAAGGTGACGCTGGACCGAGGCTTTGGACCCCCGGGCTCCTGTCCCGGCTCTGCCTCCGACTACAGGTCACGTCCCTTCGCAGCGCCTCCGCGCCCTCGTCCGTGAGATGCCGGAGCTGGGTGAGCTGACCCCCAGGTCCCCCGGTTCTGAGGCGCGTGGCTCCAGGAGCTTCTGAGAGGCGCAGGGGCCCGACGCGGAGGGGGAGGCGCGGGAGGACGGCCTCTCGCCTGGTCCTCGGGCTCCCGCCTGGGGTCCCCGGAGCCAAGACCCGGCCTGCCCGGGCCCTCAGCTTCTCTCACTCACCTCCTCTCCCTCCTGTGGGCAGCGGGGCCTGAGGAGCCTCTCCTTCGTCCTCCAGGGCCTGTTCCTGGAGGCGCCCTGACGGCCCGCCGTGTTCCCATCACCGGGCGCTAGTGAACCAGAGAAACCACTGAGTGGGCACCTGCGGACGCGCGGCACCTCCTGGCAGGGACCCAAGGGCCAGCGCCTGGTGCCCGGGGCCTCTGTACCCGGGCCTGGCTCATCGGCAGAGACTGGAGGGGACGCGAGGCTGCAAAATGCGGGGAGCTCGTCACTGCCCCTTCCTCTTAGCAAGCTCAGGGAACCAGTCACCACCGACCCCAGAAAATGAGCTGCTGGGCTACTGGCGGGTGTCGGAGGGTCCGAGCGCTGCTGCAGCGCCAGGAACACTGAGGATGGGAGGAGATAGAAGGTGGAGAACAGCTCTCTGTGACACTGTGGCACGGCCTTAGGGCGCAGATGGTCAGATCCCCCTGCAGAAGGGAGGAAATCAGGAGGAAACAGGGCGGCGTGACAGCAAGAAAAAGAGAGAAAACCTGTCTGGGGAGACAACGGAGTAAATCATACCTAGACGTGCGCTTTAACCATTGCATCAGCGGGGAAGTAGGGGGCAGGGACGGGGAAGGAACGAATTCGGCTGAGAAGAGGCAAGAGCCTTGGGGTCTTCAGTACCTTGGTCTGCGGAGGGTGCTTCCTAAGTTGCATTTGAAATAGACAAAAATTGGTTTAGGTTGAAAACGACAAAAATCATCTGGGAATGATATTATTAAGTGCCTATAAAAGGAAATAGCACAATATTGCTTAATTTCACTTTTAATATCTTTTATTTTCTGATTTCTCCTCTGATTATTATTCAGAACTCTAGACATTTCCTCCATGAAAGAGTGTCATTACTGAGTCTTAGGATTAACTGAAAAAACACCAATTTTAGAGTCAGGAAACCAGGGCTGTGGCTCCAGAGAAGCCACTTGCCTCTGGACCTCTGGGAACTAGCCTCTCTTTTCTGGACCTTAGTTTTCTCATCTGGAAAATGTGATGATCACTTAGGTCCCTCCAACTCTGAGATGCTACAGCATCAGAGCCCAGGGCTCACACCTGCTGATACTAGGCTCTGATGAATGGTTTCTCAGCAAAAAGATACTTCCTGCACCAAGTAAAAGCCAAATTATCTGCCTCCAGGGAAAATATGTTTGTCCCTCCTGTTTAATAAAAGGAAATAAGTTATTCAAAATGTAGGCTTATCTTCCTGCTTCATGTTACAAGAGTATAGTAATCTAACATCCTTGAAGTTTCTGGGCAAAGCACTCAAATGAGAGGAAATACACAAAGATAGGAAACAGTCAGATGGTCCCTCCGGGCATCACCTGGTTCTGTTTCTAGCACTCTCCTGGCCCCCTTTCCAGGCACAGGGCAGCTTGGCTCAGCACCATTCTTCATGAGACCCATTTCCTCTGCTCCCACGATTTCCAGTTATTTAGCCAGAGTCAGGTACAAAATGAACAAAATGTGCTCCCGGAATGCCAGGGGCTTTCAGCTGGATCAAACAGATCCACACTGTAACAGTTCATCACTATTCACTGCAGTGAGGACAAGGGGTCTTAAAGGAAGGAACAACTGTTCCTGTTCCTATGGTGTGGGGGTGGGAGCAGGGGGGAGAAGTTGAGAAAACTTTGCTATGAGGTCAGTTTTTGATTTATGGTCTAAGGGATGAGTCAGTATTTATGAGGCAGACACACACACAGTGGTGAAGCCAGTCCTGGAAAAAGGAAGATCATAGGCAAAGATAGAAAGGCGTAGATTTCAATGTGAATTTGGAAAGTCGTGTGTCCTTTGGCTAAAGAAAAAGGAAACACAGTAGGATATGTAGACTCAGGTTTGGATATTTGAATTTGTCTTGTAAGCAAAGAGAAGATACTGAGGACTTTAAATGAGAAAATAACATTGCCAGATTTGCAAGCTGGAAATAACTTGGTAGCCATATATAGACTGGATTCAGGAAGCAAAGGTAAAGCACTGTTTTAAACCCACCATGTATAAAACAGCTAGCTAGTGGGAAGCTGCTGTATAGCACAGGAAGCTCAGCTTCAGGAAGGAGAAGAGATGCGCTGACTTAACCATCACATGAGGGACCACACTGGTAGGAAGCAGTCTGCTTAGGTGGCAGCAGTTGTGAATCTGGTTATGAGAATGTGGATGGTCCGTTTGTGTTATTCTCATTGGTTACCCATTGAAAGAAGGTATTCATAGTAACAATCATGCATCATAGGGAGAAATCCCTGTATCCTGGAACCCAATTCTTTCTACCCCCCCTACAAAACCTCTTTAAAGTAGATTGTGCAGGGACAGCCCTGGTGGTCCAGTGCTTAAGACTGCACCCCCAATGCTGGGGGCATAGGTTCAATCCCTGGTCAAGGAACTAGATCCCATATGCCACAACTAAGAATTCACGTGTCGCAGCTAAAGATTCTGCATCCAACAGCTAAGAGCCAGCACAAATTAAAAAACAACAACAAAAAAAGAATCAGTAGAAAGCAAGCAGTTAAATACAATAAATTAAGAAAAATAGTGCAGGAATATTTCACCTGGACAAAGATGAGTCATCATCAAACAGAAACCATTCAGAATCTCTCCAGAGATGCTGAAAGAAAAAGGAGGTGGTGGGGACCGGGGAGGGGCTGCGGGGAGAAGAGATAGGAAGGTTTGCAGGGAGCTTGGAGAGAATCACACGCCACATGTGGGCACAGACATAGACACACCTGGGGGCCGCAACTAGGGAAGTTCACTTCTGGTTGCTTTGATTTTCTTTGAAAACCTGGCATGACGTCTCTCAGCTGAGAGCAGGCATGGGGAGTGGCTGATGGGAGCTCTGGAAGAGAAGGTGCCGCGTGAAGCAACCGTGGGGCAGTGAAGGCGAGCGGAGGGGAAGGAGGAGTCCAAGCCGGGCCAGCAGGGAGACAGGACCCACTGTGCATGAGGCGTCCTGAAAACAGGCTGAATCCGGGGGCGTGTGAAGGGACTTAGCAGCATCAGGTCAAGGACTCTAGGTGCTTCATCTTCAAAGGGTTGAGCCGGAAAGACAGGAGATGGAAGTCGAGAGAGGTTGCTTAAAACTGAGATTACAGAGGGTTTGCGGGTCTGGGTTGAGAGGGGTTTGTTTGTGTGTTTCCCTTCTTGACACCAACGTGTGTCCAGGGCTTCAGCTCAGTTCTGACACTAACCACCCAGAAGGAGGGTCAGCCTCACAGGTCTGATCCCAGTTCCACAAGACTGTCCCCACCTCAGATGCCAGCTTGGGTCCCCAGCTCACCCACACTTCTGCCCAACTTGGCTACAAACTTAGGAATTCCCCGTACCTTCCCCTTCAGGTTGTATGATTTGCTAGACTGACTCACAGAACTCCAGAAAATGCCAGAGGAAGGGCCAGGCCATGGTCCCCTCCCCAGGCTCCTTTGTTTTAGAAACCTTGGTTGCTTTCTCTTAACTGGCCATTTGGGCTCCACAGTTTTTTGTTTCTATTCCCAGACTTTAAATTCTTGCTCTGATGTTTCAAATTCACCAATAAAAAGTGAGCCCAAAACCTAGGCCCCCATCTTTGCTGTTGTTGTTGTTTAGTTGCTAAGTCTTGTCCTACTCTTTTGTGACCCCATGGACTATAGCCCGCCAGGCTCCTCGGGCTATGGGACACTCCAGGCAAGAACACTGGAGTGGGTTGCCATTTCCTTCTTCAGGGGACCTTAGACCTGAATAAAAGTAAAACTCCAGGCTTCTGCCCTGTGTGCTCTCTCTCTCTGCCTGACACCATGGCTCCAGGTATGCTGTGTGATTTCTAGGTCTGGTAAGCAAAAAGCCTCTTTTTCTTTTTTTTATTTCAGAACTTCTTTATGGTTGTAGCTGAGAGCATCTTGCAATCATAAGACCCACAAGGGGCAGTTTGACCACAACCAGTGATTGACAGGCTGAGATCAGCAGAAAACAGTGCAAGACATCCTGGGCTTCTCTTTGCCACCTTGGTGATGGCCAGCTCCCAGTTTCAGAGGCCATACGTGTGACCTGAGCCAAGTAAATGACCAAACCCTTCTTTGTTCTCAGTGTTGACTCTTTAGTCACAGATCCAACAGACTTTATTGAGTCCCTGTCATGAGCCAAACACAGGCAAGTTCATGGTCCCTTCCTTCTCCCAGGAGACTAATGCCCACCATCCAGTGAAAATCAGGGGTAAATATTATTTAAAGATAAACTACAATGAAACTAGTTCCAAACTGGGCAAGGAGTATTTCAAGGCTTTATATTGTCACCCTGCTTATTTAACTTATATGCAGAGTACATCATGCAAAATGCCAGGCTGGATGAATCACAAGCTGGAATCAAGATTACAGGGAGAAATATCAATAACCTCAGATAG